TTATATATGTACATGAGAAAACAGAAGGAGGAGGTCAAATTAATACAACATCCCTGGTACAACTTTGCAATATCTTGGCTTCTCTAGCTTGGATTATATATGTACATGAGATTATTAGCTATGTAATAAGTTATTATTGAAAACCTATAATTCCTTTATGTTTTCCTACAGTATAAATGCCCAAGTCAATATTGTAGAGAACCCACAGTTAAAGATAATATATTGTTGTCTACAAGATCTTTAAGTCATGTTGTTCTAATAAACTTGAATGATAAATCAATCAATCAAGCTGTAATTAAACTATAAACTAAATATGGTGGCGAACAATATTGCCAAACTTTGGTTTAGTTTACTGTTTTTGGAGTCAAATTTTGCAAGTCCACCTTTAGTAACACGGACGCGCCTAACAACTTTTGGCATATTAAAAAAGCGTCCTTGAGGTGTCAAATCATGGAGAAATATTGAGCAAAAGTAGTTAGAATATTACTTTCAACAGAAACTGTTTTAGAACCTTCAATGTTTTCTTTAGATACTCATGCTCCAGTAATGGCAAAATTGGGGTCTTTGTCAAAACCTCAATTTTTCTAATTTAAATATCTTTGCAACCTGGTGGTTGTATTTTAATCTTAGATTATTTTATCTAAATTAAATGACTGTTAGTCAAACAGTTTGTATTTAAAGAAGTAATTGGCAAAATCATCATCATTTTATGATGGTGTTCTGATCTACAACAGCCCCCTCCCCCCAGCATAAATTATGATATATAAATAGGGTCACCCATAAAATGATTTTAGGGCAGAAGAGTGCAGTTGGAAAATTTATATTTAAACAATTAAATGACTAATTATTCAAACTTTTGCAGGATAAAGGATTATCGATGAAAACTCAAAGTGAAACATTATTGTTTAGGCAAATTAAGATTATATTTTTCATGACTTTTATTTAATTTCAAGGTTTCCAGCTTATTTCAGACATTAATAATTTCATAGGTTACATCATTTTGTTTAAAGTATTAATATACTTTCTGAAACTTAAGGGACTGCAGATGTAATTTCAATTAATGGAAATAACCTCTGGAGTCCCTTGAATTGTAAACTTAACAATTAACATGTTAATCTATAAATGGAGGGTTAATTGAAATAACCT